TCTCTCTCTCTCTCTCTCTCTCTCTCTCTCTGGTGTTTGCATTTTTCGGAGGTAGGAGGACTGTTTTCCTGTGGGTCTTTTTCGAGTGCCTTTGTGACAATGGGGGCATTTTTTCCGGTGTGTGTCGGTGCTAAGGAGGGTGGGTGGGAGTTGAAGGGGTTACCATCGAACTGCAGGCACAAGCGCGGGGAGGGGGGCGGGGCATCCCGGTTTTGGCTGGAATTCTCTCAGGTACCCACTATCACCTCAGCTCGCCCATTCCGCTTCCGATCTTTGCTGAGTAGTCGCCGATAAACGAGCTGTTCCACTCACTCACAAACGTCGCGGGTCGCTTTCTTGTGCCGCACTGTCCTGTAATACAGGGCAATGAGTTCGATGTTTCCGGCCTCAGGTACCACCGCATCGTGGTTATGACGGACGCGGACGTCGACGGCTCTCACATCAGGATCCTGCTGCTGACGTTCTTTTTCCGATATCAGGTCCCTATGTGTAGGTTTTGCGTTTTTTATCGGCCCTCTTGCGGTGAAGTGGTTGCCTAGATTAGCTCTCTTTTATTTCGCTTTCGCTCATGCGATGATTTGCGATGATTTGATGCTTTTTTTTATTGCGGTGATGCAAAACGAACGCCCGCCAGCACAGGGCACAACCAAGAATCGTGCATTTTAGCACCCAACGCACGCGTTTCGCACTAACGTTGTGTTGGCGAGCGCACACGCGAAGACCGGGCAATGCTCTCGAGGTTTTGTCCGGTTCGCCACAAAAGGGCTGTCATGCACCCTCGATTAGTTGGGTTCGTTCTGGTATGCCTCGCGCTGCCCCCCCGCCCCCGCCGACCGAACGACCATATGCTGTACCTGCCCGCGCTTAAGCATCGACGTCGCAAGAAAGCCAGACTGAGAGATTTTATTGAATACGTTCGTGTTGGCAACAATTTTTGGATGATTATGAATGCGGGCTGAGCTACCGGCGCTACACGCTACATCCTACTTCTGTGATAACGTAGCGACATCGTGTGCGCAATGGTGGCAACACGTAACATACCAAGGGTGAACAAGATTTCTTTTCCTTACGGACGGGCCGGTACTGCTGTACGCTGCTTTCTCTTTCTCTTAATCATTGCAGAGATCGCTGATCGAAGACGGGTTCGTGTTCATCGCGTGCCCACCTCTTTACAAGATCAAACAGGGAAAGACCGAGAAATACGTCTACACGCAGGTATGTGGCCCTTGAAATGACGCAATGACCCCTTGAAGTGGTCTGTGCACAAACGATGCGCGTGACCTAATAACGTAGTCGCCAAACGAAAGTCATCACCCCAGAGGAGGCCATGGAATTTGCGAGGATTTTACTCATTTCTATGCACAAACGTGGCCGTATCATGGCAACGTCGAGAAACGTGCACCTCTCGTAGCGGAAAACGGAACGTGCACCCAGTTGTACCCGTTCCACCAGTCAATTCATGCTATCTACCTGTCTGTGCATGCTCAAGAGACATTCGGGAACGCCCGACGAGCCGTGACGGGTCTTGTTGGGAGTATCAAGTGCTGCTGACATTTATGCTATTTCCCTGTTTCGAAGCACCAGTCGCAACAGAAGCATCTGCTACTGATCGAGGAGGGGTCGCTGAAGATTTTACCAGTGTTTCAACAAGTATATTCTCACTTTTTATTCTCCGACGGGGGGTGATTTATGACTATCGGTCGATCGAACGGTCGCGGTTCGGCGGTGGACTCGCTTCTCTCTGTAGCGTACGGCAAGCGCGGCTGGCCAAACCCCAACGCTGTTTTTTCAAGTTGGATGAATGGACTGAGCGTGCGCTAGGAGCGCTAGGATCGACATCCAAGCCGAGAGCCTTGCCGCCCTGTCAACGCCTCGATTTCCGCCAAGAACGCCGTGACAACACACGCCTGTTGAACGACAATGAAAATATGAACGAGGCCAAAACTGCAACGATAATGCAAAAGCACATGAAACTGCCTGCTGGCGACAGGGAGAACAAGAACGGGACCCAACGGATGCACTGAAGAACTGTATGCATTTGTTGTTGTTTGCGTCGATGCATTCTCGCCACCCCGACTGAAGAAATGCCGATGGAAAGAATGTCACTCGGCAATTTCGTCATGAAACCACAGACCACAAACCATTCTTCCTCCATGGCTTGAGTCTTGAGAGATGCCTCTCTTGTATTCGCACCCAAGCGCAGCCGAAACCGCCGTTTTTTTTTGTGTGGTCGTCGAGGCTGTGCGATTTTCGACCGAACGTTTGCTGCGACAGCTGTAAGATGCTAACCCCGACCCCAGCCCCCCCAAAGCTCACCCGCACCCAATGGTGGTGCTCACGCTGCAGGAGGAGTGTGACAGCGCCGTTAGCGAGCTGCCGGCCTCTCCAGCGGTCCAGCTCCAGCGTTTCAAGGGCCTGGGAGAGATGATGCCGCAGCAGCTGTGGGACACCACCATGGACCCCGCCAGGCGGACTCTCAAGCTGGTGACGGTGGAGGACGCGGCCGCAGCAGACCGGTGAGAGAGACAGCCGTGTTCTTCATAAGATAACTCCCGCCCCTTCTACAGCATATACCACACCCGGTGATGATATTCTTGTTGGCCCAACATTTTCACTGGGTGTCATTCTGCAGAGTGCTCCGCTGACCGATGTGGCCATCGTTCTCTCGAAGGTGTCACACAATCCCCGTGCTTCTCCAGTCACGCTACTATGTCGACTTTTGTGGGCAATGTGTTACCGTGTCAGTGATATTTCGAGCCAACCAGGCTGTCATCCATCACAAGGGTGTGACTTTTCCGCCGCGGAAAACCGTTTTTCCATTTCAACCGTTTGTTTTAGGAAATCAGCGTATCGCGCACTCGTGCAACGACAAACACGCTGCGGCACTTTCCACGGAAATGCCCGTCAAACAAACGTTCTGTTTGTTCGGGTAACCCGTACAGCGTCACGTACACCCAGCTCGCTGTGCTTTGTGGCCTCTCATCCCGGCCTGCCCCGGTGGCAAAACCCGGTCTCGATCTCGGTCACGGCGTTGCACCGACTATTCAGGGTCTTGGGGTACACACTAGCCCATTGGTTACAGCGAGCACCCCCTCCCACCCTCAAAACTTTGCCTCGACCGCAAGTCACACACTAGCTACATAGCGGTGATTGGCATTTGCCCCCCCCCCCTCTCCGCATCCCCCGGTGTTTGCCATCGGGATTGGGTTTTCGTCGCTTGGCAACCACGTTGTAAAACAAGCCAATTCACTTCGTGAACTCGGCAACCAGGTTACCTTTTTTTGTTTTTTACCTCCGTTTTTTTTTTTTTTTACGGCAACCATAATGGTGGTCGAGTAGATCATGTTGTGCGGGGTGGA